GAGCGACTGGAAGAAAATAAGTTCTCATCCTTCAACGCTTAAGCAAAACCTCCAGAGACGGTCATCGTAGTAGCTGTTATCTGTAATCTCATCATGGCAATGAGCTCGTTCTTCTCTCCAAGACAACGAAATTCCGTGGCCTTCCTCGCCAAGTTGTCAAGAGACTTGCCCGCGAATGTAGAAACCCTGAATTGACTGCATCAATAGGCCCCGATAAGTCATCGCATAAGTCATATATGCATCACCTCTACGAATCGTAACAGCGTCGAAGGCACGGCGCATCCCCAAGCAATAAATCAACACTTACCGCCCTCTCCCTCCTCTTCTCATCCACTTCGAGATATTCCAAAAAGTCATCCGTAAATATGCCTAGTCCCAATATTGATTCCGACGAGCTCATTTTTTCGAACTTCTCGCAAAAGCAAGCAAAAATCCACACCAAAAGATTACACGTAGAGAACTTCCTAAGTAATCCTATGTTATCCACGGTCCCCAGTTGCTCTCTCCATCTGCTTCGAACTGCAAAGTACAGCAATGATCCATCATCAAGTAGGGTGATGAGAAAAGGTTCTTTATTTCTTTCCCAAAGAGCAGCTATGAACAGATCTGGGTTACGACTGAGCTTGAAGCCGTGGATATCATCTCCTCGAGCACCAGTCTGAAAAAAGCGCACCGCTTTCTGTACTAAAGTGGGAACAGGAAGCAGAAGCAGTTGTTTTTTTTTAATGAACTTCTGGTTTATACCGTTTCAATTATGTTACATTACCCAGTGTCCGCCATAAAATTGCTCATCTGAAGTGTTCAACGGTCTTTCGCTAATTTGGCTCGCTCTACGTATCGTTTCTTTCTTAGTACAAAGCCGCTTGTTCTATAGGTTTTCGTAAATAAAGTAAAAGATGAACCTTAACACGGTGGTTCCTCATGAGAAGAGAACTGATTTTCAAACTCAACAGAGATTTTGACGGGCATCATTTTGAACTTCTTAGCGAGCAATAACTAAATGGTTTCGAAAAATGTCTTGGTGATGTTATTCTCGTGCTAGCGCAATAAAAAGGACAAAAGGATAAAGCTCTCGGCGTTGACCAATCTCTGAGGGATGCGCCATGCATTCGACTTCATTGGGTATCGCTGGTGGTGATTCAATGCATTTCTGGCCTTTACAATGACTCGCGGTGGCCTATCATTGTATCGACCCAGTGCTGCTATCCTACCAGACAAGTCTGGTATCAATTTTCCGACCCCGGAGAGATGGAAGGCTTGGTGGGGCATGGGCGCAGAGATCGATTCCACGTGTCTGCCGCAGTGGCGCCTCCATCCACTGCGCCACACACGCCCATGCTAGAACAACACATTTGGGAATCATGCGCGACGACGGAATGAAGATGGGCCGAGTACGGAATACACATTTTTCCTTCTTCGCAGTCATTTCAGTGGTAAAGTGACCATAACGATCTTCTTAACTATGCGGTAGATGAGGCATATTTATGCGCCAAATAATAGCCATTTCATGTTGCTGTTTTCGTTAAATTAATAAATAGACTAATCAATAAGATAGCAGACAAGTGTGTTGTAAAAAGAAGTCGTTCAAGCTTGGAACACATTTCATGGAAAGATAAGAAATATCCTGGAGTCCCCTTTGTATCGTGAAATGACAGTTCTTCGGAGCAGTGCCCGTGTTTATGAAGACAGGGAAACAGAGATAAACGTAATACAAAAAAGAAGCGCTTGTGTAGTCGTGGACTTTTCGAATTCTCTAAGTATCGTCGTCATTCTCTGAAATTTCGATCGAATGCCTACGATGATGATGAGAGATAACCAAGCACTCATGCGCTATTGAGAATTGCTGATGCACACGGAGTTGCGACGTTGTTATGAATACTTGAAGTAGTCTTCTTATGGAATCAACTATGTGTAAATACACTTATATAAAGAAATGTTGTTAAGTAAGACCTTAAGCCTTAAGTTGAACGAAAAAAGGCTCTCGGCGTTGATCAATTCACGAGGGATGCGCCATACATTCTTGGTTGAGCATCGTTGAGGGCGATTGAATGCATATCTAGCCTCACTCGCGGTGACCTAGCGATGTATCAAGCCAGTGCTGCTATCCTTGCAGACAAATCCTGCACCAATTTGCCAACCTTAGAGGGATCAAAAACTTGGTGAGCCTAGGGCGCGGACGCAATGTGTATTGTAGGGCGCCTCCGACCATTGCGCTACAGGCGCAAGTTAGGCAAGCATAAGACCACATAACTAGTCATTTCATTCGGAACGTAATACAGTTCTAGAGTATTTAGGCCCCCTCATTACTACCGAAGTTTGGAAGTCATTTTTCGATTCTTCCTGTGTTTCACTTCACAAACTCTGTTAATCGAAATAACAGAGCAAGTTCGGAACTCGGACATTCCACTGAAGCAAGGCAGTAGCTGAAGTAAAGTGCAGAACAATAAAGCTCGTGTGTGGTTAGTTCGCCAGCTAGTGCTGCACCTATCTCCTGTTGAAAAAATTTATTCGAAAAATCCAGGTGGTTAATCAACAAAGCCATTACGCATGATGATTTGAGGGAAAAATGAATTGAAAACAGATACGACACAACTGCAAAGACACATCATGCCTCTTTCCCTCATGACAGCTTGCCGAAATGTCTATCTAAACTGCAGACGTTACTTTTTCTGATTTTGAAAACTTTGTTGTATCAGAGTGGGCGTTCAAAGGATTACCTGAAAACCGTTGAGCAAGCGCGAAAGAAGCGGAAAACCACCAATAAGGGAAATATATCAATGATTTAAAACGCAGAGTTCTGGTCCAACCAGTCCTACGTTGTGAAAATATCTCCGGTTCATTGAAAATCCTAAAAAATTCCATCGCCCATAAATTATCGTATTACTGTCACTTTGTAGAGTTATGACATTTTTCCTGCTAGACGCGTTCAATACCCTCAGAAAAATCAGCAAGAATGCCCTAAAAGCAACGGAACTTCCTGGTCCTTATTTTAATTTTAGATCCTTTTCATTTTCTGGAAAATTTACTAAGGCATCTCGACCATCTTTTGTCCTCGCTACACCACCATTACATAGTAGATCCATGATCTGACATCATTTACTTGCAGACTATTAACTAGCACAAAGCATTGCAACTTTTGAGCCATTTAGTCTCGGCACAATTATTTGAAGGCATTCATCTATCAATTCTGCAACACTGAACCTTCGATGTAAAAGAACCTTTAGATTACGAATGTCCAGTGTTTCATTTCTTCCTGAGCTCATTGAGCTTTCATGGTGCAATATTTATCATGGGTTTCAATCGTCTTTATTTGCCTTTACAAAGTGCTTTTTAGACGCTGTGGATCTCTGAGTAAGTTTGGGTATCGCTCTCCAAGATCTGAAGATCTACAATCCTTCTGCACGTGGGTGCCTAGCGCTTCCGCCAGACGCCGGTCTCCATGCAAAATCCTTCTGACCTCCTTCTGAGGCAGTTTTGGCGTTGAAGTCGCCGATAGCAGCCCTGTGGGAGTTATCGTCTCCCCTGTAGAATTTCTCTTAGTTGATAGAGAATTCTCGGCAAGTACTTTCGACCATTAGTTGAAGTTGATGATCATAGCAAACCTTGCGTAAATGACACAAATTTAGTCGACACCCCTCACTCGCATGTTCTAAGCGTAAATTCTTCTCCGGCACCACATTTAGAGTTTTATGGAGATGCCTCCTCGCTCTGGCCATTCCAATGGCGTCACGGTTATAATTGCATCAACCAATTTTAGGTAGAGGATACCGATGCTGGGGAGTACTTGCTGGAAGTACAAATTGCAAGCATACTTAATTGGATATCTAGATGGCCTGTCTTCACTGTACTATTCCAACTCATTGCTGACGTACGAGTTGTTTTAGGATCATAGGTATAAGGTCCTTATTTTCATCTTCTTTGGCGAGAAATACGTACTTGGTCATGGGGCCGTTTGTATTGACAGATAGCTTGTGGAAGTACAAGTTAAACTGGCGCAGCAGAGACAGGTATTCTCAACCCACTTGCGTTTTTGTCGATAAGATCATTTTGATCACAGCATTATCCCTCATTCATCGCATGCTTACGCACCCCGTAGTCTAAACACTAACCGGCTGGCGATCGAGGGATTCAGTGATGATGATTTGTGGAAAAATTCATTAAAGACGGGATAAAAGATGTCGGGTTGTAAAACTTCTTTCAGAAGTATCATTTCAAATCGAGCTGTTTACGATGGAAGAAAAAATGTCATGTTTGAAGCTGCGAGAACACGGTGCTCTAATGCAATTTCGTGCACCCGCCGTCAAATCTTTGTTTCCTTAGCATTCTGGCATGAAATTGGAAGCGAGCGCGGTATTGTACAACAGGAGGCTTTTCGTTTCTCAGTTTTAGGTTTCTAAGTTTATAAACTCTACTTCCAATTCGTTCAAAATGTTTCTTGTTATCCTCAAAGCAGAAGAAATTGCTCAGTATTTGAGCGCTTACAAAACTTTGGAAATAATTCATCCTCATAACGTACCCTCCCAACGGTTTACCTCCTTATCGTGGCTGGGAGGTCTCCTTGGGTGTCGGGCTGCGATGTACAGCGGAAGGATTCGTCTCCCCGGCTAAGTCTCTAAAGCTGAGAAGGAGTCCTTTCCATCAGGAAGCCTAGCTAAGAGTAAACCAATACCAGAATCCTTCGCCGTCTTGGTATCAAAGTCGCATGGTGGTAAATCTCCCTCTGATCCACATAGGCTGCGACTGCCTGTCGTGGTGACGATCTGGGGCAGACTTTTGCCAGGCTGTCCTCGGGATTGTAGGGAACCACAATAACTTAACGGGCAAATCTCCGAAAAGTGGTGACTATGCTGGGGCCCGCACAGCTAATGATGACGGGCAGTTCAAGTACCAAGTATCATAACATACAATTGAAAGCCCTCGTGCTTACGGGTTCTTTCTCAATGTCTTCACTTGAAATCTTCTCTAAGTCATGGTTGTCTTTCAATGTGGATTTTTCAGTGATGTCTTCTAGGAAGAAAGCAACGATTACGACATGTGAGAAGTGCAAATGTACGACGCTAGTAAAAGACAGTAAACATCATGCTGATCTATGCTCATCTGTACCAGACAATTGGGAGGTATGCAAGTTATGTAGTTATAAGCAGAAAGAGGAAGTCAGGAATCCTGAAAGCTGTCTCGTAGTCCCTCCCCAGATTAGGTCAATATGATTCTTCTATAGCGGTTATCAATGGTATCAACAGGCATGCAATTAAGTAATGTTTCATCATTGGTGGGCGCGTGTGGCGCATTGTTCGGAGGCGCCCTGTAATATACATGGGATCGGTACCCGCGCTCCTGGCCTACCAAGCCATTCTTCCAGCGGGATCGGAAAATTGGTATCAGACTTATCTGGGAGCATAACAGCACTGGCTTGATACATCGGTAGGACACCGTGAGCCACTATAAAGGCCAGATATGCATTCATTCACCTCTAAACAATGCTTAATGAAGTCGAGTGCATCCGTAGAGGATCGATCAAGACCGAGTACTTTATCCTTATTATCCTTTATCCATCATTGTTTGAACTTAATTAACTCTGAGATACCTTGGTCACATACCGTTAACTAGTAGGAATTACTTATTACTCTTAGTTGGAGCTATTATCTAACTCAATCATTCATGGTGTCATTTGTAGATGTCTTTGATAAAGCCGCGCTGTTTGATGAAAGGATTTGCTGTACAGCTCGAGAATTTGGAAGAATATCTTCCACCAAACGCCGGTGGTTGGCTTCGCAGGCATTCCGTTCTCATTCATCCTCAAGCTATGGAGATATTGGAGGTGACAGCAAGGCAACCGGTTCGCATCGTCACTCCATCTTATGACTGTATTGGAGTTATTTGGCCATGTAAGGAAGTACGTTTCTTAGTGACATTGTGAAGAGGTATAGTTCACTATTCGGGAATCAGTCTCAGATAAACTGACGTGCTGTCAGGAACACTTCATGTTTTAGAGCTCATACATTCTTATTTTAGTTAGGAGTATTGCGATTATCACTGAGTGAAGAAAGTCCACCTCGTGAGAAGCTCATCTCTGTCATACCCATCTGGAGTCCGCTTCATCTTCAAAGGATTTCGGTTTCTCTCGAAACTATTCCTCATCGAGTCAACGATTCTCTTAAAGATTATATACAGGTAGTTGTCCTTCCACTTTGGACAAATTAGTAGCATGTGTCGGACATTTTCATTTAGATGTACTTGACTAACGCTTACGTACAACCTGGACTGGTCATTCCCATCAGTTATTATGGGAAAGTTATTCGTGTAATTCCAGAAGTTCCGCTGGATATTTCTGTTAAAAACATGTCACTGGAGGATGGAGAATTGGAGGTATTACTGTCTGGTCGTCTGACATACTTTACTATTTTTCTGGTTTCTTTTTTATGAAATCCTCCTCTTATAGTCAGAACCGGTTGTCTTCTTAGCTGCTGATTGCACTGTTAGTATTTCGATCTCCAGCTCTGAATCAACTTTACTAAAGGATCACATCTCTGCACTATTATCAATAGGAGGCATGCACACGGCTAAGAAAACCCTACTGGATTTTGTTTTAACCCCATTCTTAAAGTGAAGGCAAAGGTTCACCCATACAAGTTTACAAGTAATTGTCTGTGACATATTCCAGTGAAGGAACTTGCTGTTCACTGTTGTTATGGGGTTTGCCTGGAAGTGGAAAGACGCTTTTACTTTCGACCGTAGCCAAAATATTGGGTGGATCTGCGTACTACTTTCAGGTTCTCATTCTTTTCATAACAAATTCCGATTGGGTCTTTGTTAATTATCTAAAGAATGTCTCTGAAAAGTACGCGTGGTCCTCTACATTTCAGTCTATGGAAGAGTTTAACGAGCAATACTCTCTGATTCCACGACGATGTATCGTGATTCTTGATTGGCCTTCAGTTGATAAGGAACACAGAAGTTTTAATAAACTTATCAGGTTAATTGATGGGAATGTGGTAGGTCTTATCTTTGACAATTCTCAGGTTCACACAAAAAAATCGTACAATACTGTGTTATCAACTCCATCGAGTGGTTTTTCATTGTAGTGTACTGCGGTCATACTCTCTGTACGGCAGGCAGAAGATTTGGACCTAGGCATTCGAGTAAAATTTCCAATTGAGGTATTTTTGTTTTTGCTTTACAATCTACGCGGGCGCATGTAGCGCAATGGTCGAAGGAGCCCTGCAATACACATGGGGTCGATCCCGCCTCCAGGCTCACCAAGCCTTCCCTCCCTCGAGGGTCGGCGGATCGGTACCAAATTTGTCTGGGAGGATAGCAGCACTGGCTCGATACATCGGTAGGCCACCGTGAGTCGTTGTAAAGGCCAGATATGCAATCAGTCATCTCCAACGATACTTAATGAAGTCGAATGCATTGCGCATCCCTTAGAAATTGGTAAACGCGGAGGGCTTCTTTTTTCTACCTACGCTACCGTTTTTGCCGTTGCAACTTACTTTGTTCGATTAGATAGAGATTGATGTGCCTATGGAAAAGGAGCGCCTGGAAATTTTGCGATCATTAACGGAAGCGTTTTCTGACGACATTCTTGTCGAAATGTCAAAGTTAGTTGTTCTTTGACGAAAACTTGATTAATAGCTCATTTGTTAGTTTCTCATAACTAAAATGTGCTAAAGAAGTCTATAATAAGTATTCTCCTGTCTTAAGACGGACGCACGGTTTCACAGGAGGTGATCTAAAGTCGCTCATCATTGTGTCACATTTCATTGAAGCACATAATGACACTGAACGACTTGAATTGGCACGCAGACGAGTTCGACCAACGGGAATCCGCCAGTTCATTTTAGAAGTAAGTAACTTAGGTTATTGTTTGCTTAGTGCTAAACGTGAGATGGAACTCCTAGGTGCCTCATGTCTCTTGGGAAGATATTGGAGGCTGTGAAGAATTGAAGCTTGAGATTCAGCAGGTACAGCTAAGCGCTTAACTTTTCTGCACTGAGTTTGCCTACTATCTACTAGGTCTGTTTCTTCTTCCTTTGACATAAGATTTTCTTTGAGGCTGTAACCTGGCCCCAGCAACACAGAGAGTCATTTGAACGACTGGGAATTGATCCTCCATCAGGTGTGCTTTTCAGAATTTCAACTAAAACGATTGTTTAACTACTTTTGTGTACTCAAGGTATTCTTCTGTATGGCCCACCTGGTTGCAGTAAAACATTGGTGGCTCGTGCTCTTGCTAGTGAGTCAAGGATGAACTTCTTAGCAGTGAAAGGACCAGAACTGTTCAGCAAATGGGTCGGAGAATCCGAGAAAGCAATTCGCGATCTATTCTCAAGAGCGAGACAGGTGTTACGTTATTTCTTACTTTCGTGGTAGTTTTCATAATTCCCTGCCATTTTTTTAAGGTGGCACCCGCTATTATATTCTTCGATGAGATCGACGCTGTCGGAAGCTCTAGAGGATCGGAAAAGAGTTCTGGTTTGTCATTTAATGTCTATAAATTTTGGCTTCAGTGTGATACTTATGCTGATGATAACAGGTGTATCTGATAGAGTTCTGGCTCAACTTCTCACTGAATTGGATGGACTCGAGAAACACAGTGATATTCTTCTATTGGCCGCCACAAATCGTCCAGATCAGCTTGATAGTGCCTTGTTAAGACCAGGTAAGGAGAGTAAATAGAGGAAAAGTTGTACTAAACTGTCTCTTGTTAGCTTATGGCTGCTACTTATACTTTACTTGTTCTCTTCTATTCATTACGCATTATTACCGCCAATATCACTTCTCATTCCATTTGTCACGGAATGATTGGAGCGGATAGCAGTAACATATCCAGTCGACACCACCACGCCGTACAGTTGTCAAACTTGAGGGTTCTGAACAGGAAAATCATATTTCTCGTTTAGTATCCTGGGGAAGAAGTTTTAGCATAGTCTCAGTAGTCTTCGTGTTTGCAATTTACAACCTATAGAACCAACTCGTTTATGGCGCTTGCTTGAGGCGCAAATCCAGGAGAAAGGCGTCAAGCCTCTTCTCTGGGTTGGACTCAATGCACTCCGATGTGGCTTTCGATGAAATCGGATTAGAAGTCGTTGGGTCAGATCTCAAGGTGTTGAGTTCCAAATTTGTTTCCATGGAAATAGACTCGGACAGCTCATAATGTTCGTCATACCTATCTGGGGAGCAAATTAGGTCCGCCTAGAGTCACTAGCAACCGTGTAGGATTGCTTACAAAAAGAGGTCCTTGGGTTCATCTGATTATATCATTATGAGCAGTGAAATCTGAATGAGAACTTCACTTTTATTGGAAAGTAAATCCTGTGTAGGACGACTCGATCGCGCTATATACGTCGGTCTTCCTTGCCCTGCTACACGTCGCGCCATTATTAAGATGCGAACGAAACGCATGCTTTTGGCTGGTGACGACATTGTTGAAAGACTTGTTGACAGAACTGGAGGTGAGTTTAATCTATTATGGCAACCATACTGTTTTAGCCAATAGGTTTAAAGCCAATGGTCTTTGTACGTTTTATTAGTTTCCGTTTTTCCTTCTCATTTAACATTTGCCACGTTTTACGTGAAAACTTACGTCTTTTAAACAACTTTCGAATCGACCTATATCGAATGCAGTAGACCGGTGAAAAACGGCCTTTTAAGGATGTTTATCACCAGGTTATTCTGGAGCTGAAATAGTTGCTGTGTGTCGTCACGCTGCGCTGCTTGCAATGCGAGAAAATATTGCTACGACAGCGGTACAGTGGAGTCATTTCGATGAGACACTAACGTCAATTGTACCACGCACAGATAAGAAAATGTTAGAAATTTATGAGAGATTTAAACGTGGTGTTGTCTAAGACCCTGTTGTCACATGGTTTTGGTTTAGAGCGCTTTCTTATACTGTTCTATCTCATTGTTACCGTGATTTCAGATCTAATTGTTGCAGCAGACTCAATTGTTACAATGGTTTTGCTTTTATTTACTGCCTTATCTTCTTTCATGGCAGAGTGTTATTTGAAGTACAACCACAATGATGTTGAAATATAGGCAAAACTCGGAACATATTGGACTTTGAAGCGACAATGGCGGAATAGTAGTCGCAAGTTCGAAGAGCACCTGAGGCTCCGAGTTTTATTAACGTCTCAGTATCATTTTGGTTCAATTGCTACACTTTGTTACAGAACTACTTTGTTTTTACAACATTTTTTGACGTTATCTTCAATTAATGAACATGGATAGTAAAATGTTCGGAGTCATTTCCTTAACACAAAAAGCACTGCGTGCCTTGGGGTCTTATTGACCGTCTGTGTGGGCTCCGGTGTATTTCCGCCTTTCTTCACAGTTCATTTTAAGGCATGGGTTTTGCATGTCATTCCAAGTCTGATCGGTAGCTTACCTCTCTGTGATGTCATGCCAGGTCAAGCCCAGATATATTTTACACTCAATGATTTGTAGAGAGTTGTCGCTCATCGCTTACATCTAATTGTTCTTGTCTATCGGCCGGCAATAAAGCGCATCACGTATCTGGAAACTTAATTTTCGACAATTTAGCGTGCACAACAACGTCTTCGATGTTTGATCGTTGGTGAATGTCGGGCCTTGAACTCCATCTCTCAACATGAGTCCGGACACTCCTAGCATCGCTCTTTCAACTTCGATTTCGATAGCAGTGCAATATCTTTTATCCTATTTACGCAGTAATCAACATTCCGAGACGTACGTTAAAGCAGGAAGAGTTATTGATTCGGAAAGTCGGACACAAAGTCGCGAGTTCTTTGTCCTGTTCAATGTTCTTGAAAGCTTTTCAAGACAATTGTTTCCTTCTGCTCAGCTCCGAAGGTAATTTGTTCATCATGTTGACACCCTCACTTGTACATATAGCTGGTACATTCGGAAATGCTTATTCCTTTGAGTGTGGTTGAGAGAAAAATTCCTTTCTCAGAACATCGGAAATCGTGAGATTTGGTCTAAGAGTAGTCCTTCTGAAACTGTTTTCGAAGTCAGCTAGAATTATTTCTACCTGCCTAATGCTCAGCTTAACAATTACGATATTGTCAGCAAAGGTCATCGATTTTCACTTCTGCATTGTCCCATTCCACCCCTCGCATAATCGCATAACGTTCTCTATGGTGGGTGTAGATAACTTAGGCGAGATAATAGTCTCCTATCAAACTCCTGTCTTTACGTCGATGCTAAATCCATTATGGAATGGCCATATTTCGGTTGTGAAATTGTCACACAGCTCACGAAGAATCTTTGTATACTGATTAGCGATTCCATAGTTGTCCAGAGCTTTTGTAATCGCTTCGTTAACGGAGTTCGCCTTTTTAAAGTTCACGAAAAAGAGACACAGTAGTCTGTTCTACTTTTACGATACGGTAGTGGGTTTTGTTGTCGTGTATATGTGGACCATCATATTTAACCTTCTTTTCAAACTGTGTTCTCCTACTAGGCTGTTCTTCATACAGTGTTGTTAATCCTGTTTAGGACGATTCCGTGAAAAGTTGATAGACGACGGCAGTAGGCAGATTGGGCGACACCTTCCGATGTCTTGTCGATCTCCGTTCCTGTGCAGCACCATGATTCTGCTAGATTTTCACTTATTAAGAGCATTATCTTCCGACAGGTAACGTGTGAAGAGACCAGTGAACAGTTGACTAGGACTCGCAAAAAGTTCTCCAAATGTTCAAGTCTGATCCAGTCCGGACCGAGTGTTTACGTCTTTTTGCCGACAGGATAGCGTGTACGACTTCGGAAAGCGAACTGGTAGGTTGACGTATCTATAAAATCTCTAATCTTTGATCCTTTCACTTCTACCTTTCACATCCTTTCACAAGGATGGAGGAGGATGTCGCTGTTGGAGAGATCTCAGCGTAGAAGTCGTGGATGATATTTTCACTATCTTACTGGAAGGTCTGGAGTGCTCCTAGGCGTTCGAATGCGATCATCTTAATGTGAAGACTTCGTTGGCGTTGCAGATGCCCTTTTTAGACTCTGAAGCTTCACATATCACTGCAAGTTCGGATATGAGCTGGTGATTACCTACGGCTCAACAATTATAAAAGCTCTTGGAGTTGATCTACCCTTGAGGGATGCGCCATGCATTCGACCTCATTACGCATCGTCAAAGGGATTGAATGCATATCTGGCTTTTACAATGACTCGCGGTGGCATACCGAAGTATCGAGCCAGTGTTGCTATCCTGCCAGACAAGTCAGGGAATAATTTGCCAGCTCCGTAGGGATGAAGAGCTTGGTGAGCCTGTAGCGCGGAGATCGATCCCACGTGTATTGGAACCTCCGGCCACTGAGCTATACGCGCCAAGCAATTAGACGTTCACGTAGCAGCATGAGTGTTTCTGGCAGTAGAATTCTGAATTCTCATTCTTTTTAGCACTTAAGTATATCTGTTGGATAAGGTCATACTTCGCACCGACGTTGTTTATAACGCTACCATTCCGGCTTCCGATCTGAACTAATCTCAATTCTTGATGATTTTAGAGATTCCTTTCCTGAATTTTTTCGTTTTCTACCCTTTCTGCAAAGAGTAAAAAATAACGAAACTGGGGCGAAAGAGGTGAATGTTCACTTACGTGCACGATTTTATAACAACAGCGATGTTGGTTGAGCAGAATCTGCTCTGAAGTGGTCCATTTCATTATGGAATTATCCACCGGAAAGTCACCACGGAAAATACCGTTAAGAGTGGGGTTCCTGGAATTCTAAGTACAGTGAGAGATTCTATTCATCATCATAAACTCATACCACCGCTCAGGCTATTCGTTCCATTGTAGTGACTCCTATTAGCCATTCTCCTGATTCCACCATTGGCATTGAAATCTTCACTGAAGACCTTAAAGAAAGTACAGCTTTCGCTGTGGAACATCTCGAAGTCTATAAAGAACCGAAATCGTCAAGGTGGGTTTGTGTACTACGAAGAGTCGAAACCGGTGGGCTAAAACTGCCCTGAGATTTTCGTATTCTCTTTGTCTCATCCAACCCAACGGTATCGTATCAGTAGCTCTTTGGCGTAAGTGGAATGAGTTCTCTTTCTTTAGTTCACTATGTTTAGCCATTGATACCCAAGCACAATTTGTCGAGATCTCAGCGTGAGGAATGGATGTACTCATGGGTGGTTTACCTATCTCTCCCAAAGTAGATGTGAAGTCTCCATGTTGGAGGTGTCTTCTAGCCACTCTCCATGTATTTGTCTGTCACTATATTGCAGGTTTTTTACCGAATTGACTTCTAGAGTACAGTCTGCGTATGGATAAACACATACAAGCATGTAGGCATGGGAATGTCTACCTAAATACAGAATATAGATGTCAAACTGACGTTTGACTTCTGGTTCACGTATCTATTATCTCAAGACGTACCATGTAGCCTCGTGAGTAACCAGGAAGTACTACCTCATTGAAAGAGATCCATGACCGATGGGAGCCTTAGGTCGATTTTCTATAAACCTCGGCATAATAATCGATGTATATATTTGTTTTTCCTTCCTCAGAGTCTGGACGTACCCCATGTAACAGTGGCCCCACAATTCGGTCAACTGTATAGTATTAAGGGAGATCCAGTATATGAAAAGACGCCAACTTTCAAAAACCAACCACTATGCCATTGAACCACTCTTGAGTTGAAGGATGATGAATGAGACTCACCCATGGAGCTGTGTACAGACTCAACATATTTTGCGAAAGCGACTACCAACCGCTTTCGATATCAAAGTTTGATGACAAACGAGCCTTTCTTCATCATATATGCAACAGCTAGAGGAGCTCCAAAGTCATGGAACACATAAAATACTCCAAACAATAGAACGAACGGAAAAACGACGAAGTGGGACAGCGGTACAACGTACCACAGAAGCTCAAAAAACAGCTCGGCCGGTGAAAAACTGAGCATCCTATCGTACAACTGGGCCATGCAAACATAGGCATACTTGCACCGGGTGCGGATCATTTCCATAATTCGTCATATTATATTGGCTAAAGGACAAAATACACTCGACCAGTCGCTGGTACGATCTGGCGTGTGAATTAACCAACTCTTTCGCAACCCCAGCATCGGTAAATTGCTACCAACCTTGTTCGGGTGTATAAAGACACTGACTTGACACGTTGGTAAGTCCGGCATGCATTCAATTACCTCTACGATCTTTGATTAAGTCGAAGCCATGGCGCATTTCTCAAAGACTGATCAACGCCTTTCATAGTCCATGTTCTATATCGGACTAGTGGGCATACGTGTCGCAGTGATTAGACGCCCAGCAAGACACATGGGAGCGATCGCAAGCCCCAGGCTCACCATGCCTTCCATTCATTCGAAGTTGGCAGATCATTACCTGTCTGGGAGGATAGCAACACTGACTTAATATATCGTTAGACCACCATGAGTCATTGTAAAGGTTAGGTATGCATTCAATCACCTTTAACGATACTTCACGAAGCCGAATGCATGGCGCATCCACCACAGATTGATTAACGCAGGAAGCTTTATCCCTCATCGGACTAGTGGTCGACAAGTAGTGAGTGCGAACCGCCGAATCGAGAGGTATAGTGCCGCACCCAGATTGAGATTACCTGAATGCTGCTTCTGGTAACCTTTTCACTCTAGCAGGACAGAAACTAAGAGGATTGCACAGTATGCTAAATTTTATTAGTATGATAAAACCATATTTATGCGAAAAGCTGGAGGATCTGCACGATAACAATATGTTACCGATCTTTTGTAAACCTGAGGTTGGTGCCGAACAGTACTCAAGCTGACAACAGCAATCATCCGGAAATCGCATACAAATGATACTCGAGTTTGCTTGAGATGTTAATTTAAAATGAAATGTTTAGTGGAAATAATTCAATGCTGACAACAAGTAGTGGAATCAAGGAAGGATAAGGACAAGAAAGAGCACTTATTAACACAGAGAATGAAAGAACGTTGACACAATAAATAAACCCTGGGGACACAAGGAACGACTGCCTTACGTTGTTCTACTTTCATGGACAGTTGAATCAATTATAAATCTAAGGCTTAAATTGGTGTTCATGTAATCGAGGTACTTCGAAAAGCCTGCTTTTCGGATCTTTAGGAATAACGCGTGCAGGCACGGAAATGTAAGAGCAAAAGACAAACATGTATTAAAAGAATATCACAGATTGCATGCGGTTATTAATGCCTTGAACAGTTCATAAAGCAAAAATTTCACGATCCCAGCTGTTCATACGCGTACGCCAACATCGTCCTTTGAACGTCTCGCTTCGCTGTCGATGAAATTTCGAAGACGCTCCAAATAAGCAGCGTGCAACTCGACGTCATTATGACCTGCTCCTATAATACACGGAATTACAACAATAATAACATACTCGAAAATAGAAGCAGTACTTTAAGATCTCTCTGACTAATTTCAAGGACCATTACCACAGAACTATTACGGTTTTTGTAGCAACCTCCAAATTTCAATTGAAAAATCAGAAAATTCGCACTTCCGTAGACTTTCGCTCACTTTGACAATCACTGGAATTATTTACTGAGTAGATCTTGTACTATTCAAACACAACTAAACACCAAAATGCGAGATTCTCCTCACAGCCATCAGTTCTCCACATGATTTCTTGTCCGATACTTACCACAACACTTACTTGGATATTTGAATGGCCTTCGTCCACTGGTTGTGCGGACCCCAGCTCAATTTTCATTTTTTCGGAGTTTTGCTAGTTTAGGTGAGGTCAGTCTGGCCAAAATCTGCCCAACGTCGTCACCACCACAGGCAGTCGCCGCCCTTGTTGATCGGAGGGAGATGTGCCAATATGCGACCAGTTTGATACCAGTACGGTGGTGAATCTCGATATTGGTTTACTCCTAGCTGAACCTTCTGGAAGAAATGGCGGACTCCTTCTCAGCTTGATAGACCCTGCGGGGGAATAATTCCCTTTGTTGTACAACGCAGCCCGACACCTCTGCAAGCCACGATGAGGTATTATAATACCAAGAGAAATTTATAATAAGTCCAGAATTAATTCAGGACTAAGTGATTAATTCACACTGGTAGGATCTAGTCTCGAAAATTCCTTACTCATGGAATTATGCTTCATATATCCACGTCTTTATCATAAAACTTTTGTGTCGAAGATAAACGCTTACCTGACACCCACAACGGTTCTACAGACGCAGGACAACGTTCATATATGGAAACTCCATGTGAAAAGTCAATCACCTAAAGATTTAAATTATTGTGGTCTCAAGAGGAACAAAAGACATCCCTACTTCATCATCAGTTCCATGGATTACAAGAGTCGGACATTTCACACGAGGTACTTTCTCGATCGAGGGAAAAGCGTCGCAACACCTAAGCACAACTTAGATAATTATTGAGCCTAAACCATCAACAAAACAGAAACATGTACCATGTGCGCTGCGTTCCAGGGAAAGCTACACGCATTCCACTCATCAAAGGTGAATGCAGAATAAGTGCAGCTACTTCTTCACGACTTGCCAAATCTACACTGGGTACAGTTCCGATCGACTGTCCATAGAGAATTACACGATCCGCTGGTACCCCTAAACACGAAACTTTCGAAAAACTAAGTTGGATTCTACATGAAATCAACTAGAGTTGTCCTGTTAATACTTGTTTCACGATCATTTTATGCGTTTATCAATGTGTAACAAGAAATACCACCCATAACTACTGCAATTAGGACCACTTGGTAATTTTCGCTATGCCGACTTGGTATTTCCTTTGAAACAATAGGACTGTAAAAGAACAAAAGACAAAGCTCTCGCCGTTGATTAATCCCCGGGGAATGCGCCATGCATTCGACGTCATTAAGCACTGTTGGGGTGATTGAATGCAAATCTGACCTTTACAATCACTCGCGGTCGCCCACCATTGTATCGATACGGTGCTCCCAGACAATTCTGCGGCCAATTTTCCGACCCCGGAAGGATGGACGGCTTGGTGGGCCTGAAGAGCAGGGATCGATCCCATGTGTAATGCAGGGTGCTTCCGACCACTGCGCTACACAAGCCCCCTTAGGATTAGGAAATGAGTTATACAATACTAAAACTCATACAAGCTAAGTAGTTCGCGAACGGTACAAATGTTTGGACAAGAATTAAGAAGAACAGTAACGAATAGTACATGTGTCATTGATGGTAGTGATACGACAGGATTGTGGAGGATGTTTAGCTGCTGAAACAAAATTAGAGTCGGAAAATGTGGAATTAACCAAATTTCGTCTTCAGAGTTTCGAAAGCGGCAGTTATGTCGGCATAAAGATTTTTCTCAGATGGTCTTCCTGATGAGCATCCATATCCTAAAGAAAGATCTCGTAACAACAATGGAAGCCCTAGAGATTACAAAGAGGACCCAAAACAGGAATACTAACCCGAGTAGTCGTAGCCAAACACATTGCACCCTAGTCGCTGACCAAGTCCCCAGTAGAAAGATGTCATTTGACCAATATCGACAGCGTTCCCGTGAGAAAACAACAATGTGAAGTACGCATTTGGAACGGGACAAAGATAGACGCATGAAATTTTGTTCCGTCTTCTTGTTCTATACAATAAAACTTTATATATAAAACCCTATTTTCCTTAAGGACTAATATTAGTACGAGATGTGGGAATGATGCATAGTGGATGTTGTGGAAGGAAAAAAGAAAACTAGTAGGGTTGAAAATCACAAACAGCACCGAGCAACAAACATTTCGACGTTGGATGCGAGATATTCTGGGTCGTGAGGCCACTCTGCACGACCTTCCAGCAAATGTAACCTTGAATTAAGAAAGAAAACCTTTAGGCAACAGTAATTTTACATCAACACAGATTCACGTACCTATTATTTTCCGAGATTGTGTAACTTGACTCTGGTGGCATGAAAGCAAGTTTTGATACTATGGAGGAAGGGAACGGTGGGCAACAGAATAAGCAACATAAGTATCTACAAAACAAAAGAGGATTGGGCGAAACGTTAGCCTCTAAGAAGTAATGTAAAGCAGTAGGCAAGCAACCAATCTGAATGGTACTTGGCTTCCAAGTGTACTTAAACACAGAACTGGGCCATGTTCATGAAGTTCTTGTTCGGCGTGTAGTTTACTGGTTGGGCAGAGCTTTTATTTGTTTTAAGTCCCGACAAACACTGTCAAACTGTCCCCAGGTCGCCATAATTCAACACCTACTTCCTTCCCACAGCGAAGCAGCAGACCGAGAAGAGGTTTTAAAAATAACGAGTGACAGATAAATAATAAAGGTTTTACTGCACGTCAATCAAAGTAGACGAGCATCGAACGATGCCATATGATGAAACTGGTTTTTAGATCTTCATTAATAACACAATGGAACACCATACTGAAATAAAAAACCACAAAAGTCTGCAAAAACACACTTCATAGACACCCTGCCAGCTGCCGGAGGTGAAGCGGCTCCCATGGTAGTCGATCCTTCAGAACCACCACTCTGTCCTGACATGCTATCAGCCCAGAAATCAAAAAACGCTCAAGACCCTGCAAAGTAGACCGAAAGCTGGTAAAAATTTCTATCATTGGAAAACATTTACTGTAGTTCCAGAAGATCGTTGATAATTCTGTAGCATACTTCAAAAGAGACCTTAGATATGAAAACTGCCGTGGGTGCGTTTAGATACCCAATTATAAGGTTTGCACTTTAAAAGATGTGGACTTTATTCGAGTTAACCAACACTGAGGCTACTTTATGTCCATAAATATTACGGAAAAACTGCCTAATGTTTCTTAGTGCTAAAGTTAAATGATTGCTAACGTTGCTAATGCTAAAGAAACTGCTAATGCTTAATAATTTAAGCCGACAAATAACTTTTAAGAGGAAACAGTTCAACAGTATGTGTTTCCTACTGCCTTAGAAAATGACCACATCACTTCCCCGCCCGTTCTAACACTCAATAATCACAACAGATAGTCAACTAACTTTACAGAACTCTTTCCGCTACAAATTTTGATAAGTTAACAGTTCACTAAGTGTTAAAGACTGTAAAGAATTTGTAAAAACCACTACTAGTTACGTTTCTAGATGACTGCTAAGCGTTTTTTTCCAAAACTGCTCACGTGACATACTTGGTGACGTCGTATGCCTTTGACAAACATACCGGCAAAAAACAACAGACCACATCTGTTTCTACTCTCCATCATCTCCATCCGTTTAGTTTTTTGACGGCGGAAAAGCAAAAATGTTGAGGAAAAGGTTTAAGAATTATGAAGAGTGAGCATCTGTTTTAAACACAAGATGGGCAGCCATTGTCGATGAAAATCTCAAGTGATATTGTCTACTGTAGGTAAAAATATTCGTAAACAATTCCATGTACACAAGCGCTTGTCCAAAATCGAAAAACTGCTAGAATCGACATGGAGCTTATCCATGAGAGACAAAGAAATCCATAAATAACTCATGTAAGTGGGCAAAAAAGAAGCTGTGGTGCAACATCCTATCCGGGAGAGCGGGTGAGTCTGCAACGAGTCGGAGGAATCGGGGAGGGGTTGAGGCACCCACAGAGGTCACCGCACAACTCGTCCGTCCTGCGGCAGGGACGGAGAGCCGCACAAGCGACCACCAGATCGACGACGATGTTCGGCGACGTTGGGCGATCGGAGTGTCAGCTCTCTATGTCCGGTGTAGACTTCTAGTAGCGTTTATCTGTATTGCTAAGGTGTATGAGCTGCAACTTACGCTACACTAACCCACAATTGGTACAATCGGTACTCGACTGACCAGTTTTCACAGCGAGTTGTAATGGCCGTAGCATGGCATTTCCCATTTATCGGGCAATTAAACACCATTTAACAGGTTACCACATTGGAGAAATTTGTTTGTTCCCTAAAATTCCAGGATACTCCTAAAAGGGCAGCAAAAAGTTGCCCATCCTTCTGGATTTAGGAGAGGTTTACCACGTCATGACTGGTTTTCCGCCAAGTGGCCATTCTTAGAAGTGGATTACTCTTACCTAGGCTTACGAATAGAACAATATCGATTCCCTAATTTGTAATCACTCTGTAGGAGAGTGAATCCACCTGTGAACGTTATACAACGCCCAGACACATCCACTTGAAGTGTAGAGAGGGCATACAATTGTCTCTAACCATAATTTGTTCTATTTAATAGGCGGAAAAACCGCAAAAGTGGGAAAAGAAACTGCTAAAATGATCAAAAATAGGGATGTGTCCATCGTTTCCAACTTGCAGGAAGGTAGAGCTATTAATAATATCGGTGAGAAATACGATTCCATCATCCAATAGCTCTAGGCTAGTGCGAAAAAGCTGAGAGTTTCTAATTCTGTCACCAGAAGCAGTTAAGCTCGTATGCCAAAGGCCAATTGTGCAAGTCGTAGTCAATCACTAGCTTACACCAAACTTACAAAACGGCAGAAAGGCGATAAGAGACCTTAAAGAGAAGGCAGAAGCACTAACAAGCGGAACTACAGAGCAAGTAGATCGCCCCCACAACGCCAACCACAATTTGGCCAATTGGAAGATTAAAATGATCACTCTCGAACTCCTACACAAAGCATTCCAGACCCTCCAAAAAGATAGTGAAAAAAGTCACACACGATTTCTACACTTATCTCTTTAGTAGCCACGTCTTCCTGCGCTCAATGAAATTATGAGGATGGAGTCCCACTAGTCCTCGTTTTCGAAATCCGACGTGCTATTTCGTCGGCGAAGAATCAAACAACACGTGGTCCGGACAGAATAAAACTCAAACATCTGAATAAGCTTCCTCCAGTCCTCATCAACACAATTGCTTGGCTCTTCGGACGTTGCTGTTAAAAAAAAAAGGGTGCTCCTATTCAGCGGAACCTTCAAGACCCGAAAGACCGACTTTCTATAAACCTCGGCATAGATAGTTGATATATTTATTTATATGACATCCACACGTAACATTACGGCTCTGAGGAAGGCGAAGCCGAAACTTCAGCTATCGACCAACAACATCAAAAACGACGATAACGACAACGAAGACCTGTATCAACCTCGCATCAGCTGCTTAAGAAGATCAGTTTATAAGATCACATAAATAAATATATCAACCTTCAAGACCGTTTTTTTTTTCACATTTGCAAAACACACAAAGTAAGTAGGGAACCCAAAGTTTCAATTTACGAACGCGACGAAAGATCGAAAACAGCGGTATGCAAATAAGAAGTGACATTTAGGACGACCCGACACGTAATAACTCTCAACGACGACCGATGGAAAAAAACCGTTAGCGACCAGATTCCACGGAATATCAACAGTGGTACAACAGGAAGACCACCAACCCAGTGGTCAGGATTCTATGCGAAGAGCCTAGAACAAAAATACGATGTCTTAAAAGTCGACTATAGTTTAACCTTGGTAACAGTAATCGGTAATTTTTTGTATGAATAAGCTGACATGAAATTGGTATAAAAACTTTTTTTCTGCTAACGTTTCCGCGCCTTCGCCTTCTTCAGAGCAGTGTTGACGAAGTCAATGGTCCATATTTGGTCGTTGTCGCACTGAGTCAAATCCAGTAGAACAAGCACCGCTCAAATAGGGAACTTTACTCAGTTTAAGATATTGTCGCGCTGCACTAAGTAAATGAAGTATCAATTACTACAGGTCGCATTACCCGCTAAAAGTTGATCATATTGAAGATGGCAATCGTTCAACTCCCGTCCTGTATAAAAGGCCTGCCGAATGAGATTTTCCATTCGGGTGGTGCTTCCTCCGCTGGATTTGACTCGATGCGACTACGAACATCCGCATCGCAACAATGACCAGGTATATCACCGACTTGCATCAGTGCAGCTCTGAAGAAGACGAAGGTGCGGGAACGTTAGCCGAATAAAATTTCTCACACCAATCTAATGTCTGCTCAGTTCTATAGAAGATTAATAAGATGATTCAGATGGTCCCTAGAGCGAGCAGAACCCGCTGTGCTACTTTTCGTAAGCGAAAGGGACGGATTGAAAATTTACTGATTCACCCTCGAGTCATTTGACGATAAACTGCGGATACATGTGATGCCTATGAAATTTATATTTAGTAACAAGTATCTTTTCATCAATAATATTTAACCGTAGTATGTTTTCCACAGGGTGGCATTTGAGGAAAAACTTATGCCCTTCACGAAAAAACGGCTCTGAAGAAGGCGGTACTGCCGAAACGTCAGCTGGCGTTGTATTGTATTGTGTTTTTCTATGAAAGTAAATGTATGCTGTTTAAAAACCTCACGATTGCTGAACAAGAAAACGACGAATTCATATTCCAATGCCGAGGTTAAGAGAAAGTCGATTCTGGGAACTATTATGCCTTTCTTACAAGATATTTCGTCTCGAACTCGTTTAAGAAAAACTGAGAAGTGTTACGGGATGGCCAACTTAATGAAACCTCCAGGTTTTGGTGGAAAATGTTCATAAGTGAGATTACGCTTAATTTCTTGATTATTAATTGATACTCTTCCAACCATATGTGGAACTTTCTTAGGAGCGACGTTTTTTTTAAAAACATGGCTGAGAGGAAGGCGAAACAAGTTGACTACTCAAAGACGCTCATAGTGTCTAGTGATGAACACGTTAGCCCCTGGAGAGGGTAATAGCGGGTTCGTTCTCAATCGCAAACACCTGCGTTTCGGAGTTTTGCAAATATCTCAGTATCATTCAGCATCATTGCGCTTATACTTCATATTATACCTTGCCATGAAAAAGGAAGAGTCAGGAACTAAAAAATGATTACACTTAAATAACAATCCCAAGTCTGGTTATCAAGAAAGCAGTGATCTATTCTTCGTTATCAGTTCCATATCACGGCTGGCTTGGTAACGATTTTAATTCCGTTCATCGGGCTAACAGCGCATCATCATAACCGTTGAAGTCTCGAGAGCATTTAATTAAACTGCTTCTTTTTGAGTTGCCTACACAAGTTAATTTTCATCTGTACTAATTTAATTGCTCCTGCAAAAATCTCCTTCAACTGATATATTTTATCGT